CAGGTAAGGTCGTCGCTGGACATTTCAGAATTAGCGTCGTGCCAGGAACCAATGCGGTCAAAAAACGCGTGACGGTAGTTGAGGGCAAAGTGGAAGCTCGTCCAATCATGCCTGCCCGGCCAAGTGTTCAAGTTTTTCTGTCTCACTGTGTCTACCATTCCATGCCAGGTTCACTTCCCTGACCTACGACCACCGACTAGTAGACGGCCGCGAGGCCGTCACTTTCCTCTGCAACGTCCGGGACAAACTTCAGGACCTTGCTTGGGTGGATGGTGACTGTCACAACTGCATGCATCTGTCCTTGTCTTGGAGGATCCTGCCCGCATGCTCTTAGACCTGTGACCAAAGGAAGGCCGCACTGCCAAGCCGTAGGCCAAAGAGTGATTACAGCACATCCGCCACACATGTTAGCACTTCAGGGTTGAAGGGCTTTAACAGCTTTAGAGTTTAGGCTTTGGGGAGCTTTTGGTCTTGGCAGATATCCGGGGCTTGCTGCACATGGACAGAATTTACTCCATCTCAAGAAAGCGCTGGCGCTGAGCATGGCTGGAGTTCTTGCTAGCACACGTGCCACTTTAACGGCTAATTAGTTGCCTGGGCATCCGAAGACCTGAACTCCGAGCCTGTTGAGTTGTGAATCTGACGGGCCGGGTTTGCATCAGACGCCTTCTACAGGGTATACGATTGAGAAGCTTGAGTCAAGTGGAGAGCTTAATCTGCTAAGCCATTTGAAGGTTTCAGGATTTCATTTCTTGACTTTTGGCCCCTTCATTTTCTGATGTCGATGTGCCGACTCTAGACTCTGCTTCGCACATCACAGAATTCCTGCATTTCCTCCTTTCAATCCTACCTGGGCGGACCAAGAAGGAATTTCGACATCAGCCTTTCGATTCAGGCCCGGCGGAGGAGACACAAGTTGTAGGAAGGATACACACTGACCGGCTAAATCCAACCAACTGGACAAATATGCCAGCTAGGATTAGCGAACACATGCAACCGGCTCGGCTCATGTGAGTTCTTGTCACGTGGCTGTGGGTCCACAGAAACTTCTGGCAGGAAGGTGTTCTTCAGAGCATCCGACAAAACCAGCCCGGGCAGTCTTGTCAAGCGGTGCTTTGAGGCGGTCGAGATGCCGCACAAGAGTACGTCGACCGCCTAAAGTGAGCTGGCGACTCGAATCCTGCGTCAGATCCCACCTGAGCTCCTACGACCATGAGTGTCAACACAAGTTGTGCAAACCTTATGCCAATTGTGATGCTGCATCGCTTACTGTAGACATGCCATCTCGAAAAAAATGAGTGCATGCGTTTGTGTGGACCTGCTCACCCAGCTGCCGATTCGTCGGGCCGCTGATGATTTGGGCGTTGATACTTGCATCAGCTGCTTGCCAGGGAGTTCGAAACTCTGCCAACCAGCAGATGATCCTCCGTACGTGCGAGGCTGTTGGCATCCAGGACGCCTGGGAGTTCGAGCTGCGCTTGAAGCAGTATCTGTTGGACCGTTGGACCTGTTGGGTAACTGATCGCTGGTAGCTTGCTTCACAACGTCAGCAACAGGAATCAGGGGAAGCAAGAACACAAAGCGACAGCACTAAGAGAGCTACACTCAAGCATACAAGCCAATCCGACAGAGAAGACACTACAGCCATGATGACAGAACGTACAAGGAATCCAAATCAATGCATTGAAGACATGGACAACACAACAGCACGCGCATGATGATTCATCATATTCTCTTGTTGCCACACTGTTGTTGCACATAGGTTTGTCTTGTCTGACGTATGATATAGCCAGTGTGTTGTATGTACACATATTGCTCGCAGAGATCTATGTATGCATTTCTGCATCTCCTCCTCCCGACCTTGATCTTCGGTGCACTGCTGCATGCATTGTTAAAACAAACAAGGAAGCACTTGAAGAGATTTGAAGAGATTCACCTCTATACACTATACACATGTGACATGTGTATATGTATGTATGTATGTATGTATGTATGTATGTATGTATCTATGTATGTATGTATGTATGTATGTATGTATGTGTGTACGTATGTCTGTACGTACATGTATGTGTTTGCAGATAGATATATATACATACATATATATATATATTATGTATATAGAGATAGATAGATAGATAGATAGATAGATAGATAGATACATAGTTCGATGGGCAGGTAGGTAGGTAGGTATAGGTAGGTAGGTAGGTAGGTAGGTAGGTAGATAGGTAGATATGTCCTCCCTGCAACCACCAACGAACTAATTAACAGGTTTCAATACAAGAAATTTAGGGGCATGTAATCCGTGCGATCCACCTTTGGCCTCAGGTACGCGCAGTCAAGAACGGCATGATACAGTCAAGGGCTGTGGGTTATTGCGTAGGGTGCAGGGAAGCCTTCGCAAGCTCGGTGTAGACCAAACCCTGACCTTTCAAGCCTACCTAAAAACCTAACCGAGAAAAACAAACTGAACAAGATTAGCAGGCAAATCCCAACCGAAAATACCTGACTGAAAAATACACAGCTGAAAAATCGAACTGAAGAAACCCAAAAGACCACAAACCTAAACTCCCAGAGTCCCGTCACACACCCTCTGGAACAGTTCCAGAACTCACATGTTTGGGTTTTGTATTTTTTCAGTTAGGTTTCGACAGTTGGATGTGTTCAATCCATAGTTTTTCTCAGTCATTTTTATTCGACGAGGTGCTTTCTCAATTAACTTTGCCAAGGCTTCCCTAAGCTTTTTCACCAAACTCGCTGCCCTGCTGCGCATACCTATGGCCAAGAAAGGTGTACCCATGAGGGCGCAGGGGGCACTCCTATCTATGTACAGATACACACGTATATTTATGAGTACATATACACATACACAAATACACATGTCTTTGTGTGAGAATGCTCAACATCGGAAAAGTCCAACAGGAGGGCACTTGACAACATTAATCGGCACTAACCACACGATCAAATCAGCACCAATATCACAGAGGGCGCTGACGAAAGCATACAGTCCAGCTCTACCGGCACTCAAGTCGGTGGGTTCCTGAAGGCAGCTGAGCCACGTCTCAGCCGACAATCGCAAACGGCGCACCGGCAGACAAACTCAGCGGAAGCGGAGCGAACATGCTCCCACACTTCCTCCTCCTCCAAGACCGACAGCAACGACCTTTAGGCAGTCCAGGACCTCAGCAGAGTTCCCGTAGCAAGCATCGATCCACGTGTCAGAACCAAAGTTGCGAGTAGGGCCGGCAGCTTGCCATGCCGGGGTCTGCGACCACTGCTGGTCGCTAGCCTTCCTGCTTTCGACCCCCGAAGCGAAAAGATGGTTTGCAATCTTGCACCCCTGCCCTGGCTTTTCTAAAGTGCCTGGTAGGTGCGCTCACCGCGCACGCAGCATTGGTGAGCAGACTATGCAGAGTCTCCCGTATCTGCCATGCCCGGAAAGGGTGGCCGCCCCCGAAGCTGCCGGCATATCACCGGTGATGGGCCCGAGCGGCAGCCAATTCCTCTCGGCAAATCGCCTGAAAAGTCGTTTCCAACGACCAGGACGGGTGATGGCGTCAATCCAAGTGGGGTGTCGATGTTTTCTCCGATCGACCTGTTGCCACAACCGCTCCAAGGACCGTCGCACTGCCTCCAACCCAGATCCTTGCCTGTGGGCCATGGCCCAAAACTCGCGCACTGGTATGGTACAACACGACCCAACATGGCACAATCCGGCGACATGACAAAACATATCTTGGGATTAATTTGGATGACATTGCGAGGAGAAAAGGGGCCTCTGTCCCCCAGGTGGAGGGCCGGTTCATAATCATGTCGAGATGAGTGACTCGTAGAGCAAGGTCACGTCAGAACTGCTGACACCCAGAGCTGCAAAGATGCGTTTGCCACGACGATGGAACGCATCCCACGCCATCCCAACTCGTGCTCTGAGCTCGCGGATGAGTGATGACAAGTGGGACTCCCTACAGACAGCCCAGATCCATTGGAGGAGGCGAGATTTCACCGCAAGACCTTGGGGCTCATTTAAGGGTTCACACAGACGAACCCCCCGGGGAGGGGATTAAGAAGGGGGGAATAGAGGGAATCCGAACAGGGACCTCTGACCGCTTCGGGCGCACACGAGCATTTACAGCAACTTTCCACGCAGCGTATGGAAGGCGGCCTGTGTACTGTGCTTGCTTTGCCGCTCGCATGGCGATGACCAACAGTTGACTGTAGGCGGTAGCTGCGAAGTGCAGGAGTTCCCCCGGGGCGCCGATCACACTTGCCTTCAAACCATGCTGGTCGGCCGTCGCCATACATGAAAAGGTACCAAGAACTCCTTGTGTAGGATGATTTGTTGTGGAAAAACTTCTTCACGGCTGTTACAGGTGGGATGGTAACGAAGTGGTAATATTAAGCATCGGGCAGGCTGGGGTAGAGAAGCACCTCGGAACTCCAGAACTTTCCATAGAAGGCAGTTTGCTGATGTTTGTGGAGGATACAAAATGTGAGGATGGTTGAACTCAGACGATAGTAGATTGCAAACGAAACCCTGCTCTGCATGCAGACCGCGAGAGGGCCTCTGTGTGAACCTTGTGAGGCGGTGTGGCTGGTGCCCCCCCCTTCGGGTGCAAAGTACCGTGCGACAATGGTCCGATCCCGGCATGCTTCGAGAGGCGCTGAAAGGCACGCACATCGCAACCTTTCTCCTTTACACAACTCATGCCAACGAGATCATGTGCCAGGTTCCTGACACTGCGCCGATTCACAAATGTCGAGGATGCGGTCTTCTGTCGCCGCAAACACATCTTGTCCACCAGTTCTCGACTCGTGCAGGAAGTTGCTGCATGCTGCAAAGTAGAGGCTCGTGAGCTGTGGGCCTCCTACTGCCCGCCCAGGTGAGGCGCTCACAAGTCCCCTTACAATTCCCTGTCACCTCGTGCGATGCAGGACAGAAGTTTCGGCTGCAGTGGCGGTGCCTTTGGTGCAGGGGCCGGGGGCCCAGGGCCCGGTTGCAACATTTGGTTCAAGCCTTCGCATGCCTTCGCGGCCGAGGTCTGTGCCATCCCCGCTGCCTCGTCTGGCACTGGTTTGGCCCTTTTCTGGGGCGGTCGACATGGTCAGCCACTGTCAGCTTGTTAGGTCCTCGGCACAGAAGGAGAGGGCATCTCGCCGGAGCTGCTAGGGAAGGCAAATCTCGCAGTGCGCCGACTCTCGTCTCTTCCTTCTTGCACCGAGTGGTTTGGGCCTCCTCAAGGTATATCTGCCGATGCACGGTTTTATGCAGTCTCTAAATGTCGCAGCACGGAGCTTACGGTGTGGCTTGACATGAGCATTCTGGGCTCCCGTTCTGATGGCCCGCAGCGAACGTGCGACAAAAACACACCTCTGATGGGTCAGGTGGCTTGTGGCATGCTCCTCCAGCGACTCTTCGATCTCTGTCCTCAAGCAAGGGGGGTGCGCCACCACTATTCGACCAGTTTAACGATGACATACGTCGCATGAGACACTCTTCAACACTGCCAGGATATGCCTTCCAATGTTCAGGAGCACCTGGTGTGCAACTCATTTGTTGTTTGGGTATCGTTCCAGTTCGTTCCGCCGACAAGTTGTGCGAGCTGCGGAATGTGCTGCACAGGCGGCCATGTTGCACGGTCTGCGCCTCGCGAGAGATGATGTCGGTGACGACGAGGGAGTTCCCGATGGCCTGCTCTGAGGGAAATGCCAAAGTGCGCTTTCCTCTTCGCGGCTGTACAGTTGGGCATGCGATCCGGATCATGTACAGAACACTGAGGCTGAAGATTCTGCTGCTCGTAGCCGTTGCAACGTGCAGCCGCACTGGGCGCTAGTGCAACCTGGGCGCCTGGGTGCAATCTGTGAGCCCGAACATGCGAGAAAGCATGCACTCAGTCGTTAACTGCAACATGTCCTCCTCGAGCCGCATCCACGGCTTTTTTTGACAATCAGCCTATACCAGAAACACAGTAGCCCGACGGTGGAGCTGCGTGTTTCGAAGACGTGCTAGGGTTGCTGGGGACATTGATAGCCAACCCCGGAAGTTCTTTTATTCGGCTTGGTGCAGAAGATCGCAACCGATCCAGCCACAAGTCTGCAACCTTGACAGCCAGAGCCTAGGCATTTTGACATCGAAGCAGGGATGCTGTCAACGGATTTGCTGAGGAACGCATAACAGACACAGAGAACGATTCAATTCGGGAGAGTCATGGCATCGTGGGAGTCGCTGAAGGCAAGAGCCAAGGCCGTAACACCACAGCCACACCGCCGACAGCGCCACTTCCCATAGGACTTGACTTTCGATGTTTCTGTTGCAGGCTCTGAAATCGGAGCTAGACACCAAGATGCAGGAATTTTGCAACGGTGCTTTTCTTCCGTGCCCAGTCAGACTTGTGTCAGGATCTCGGGCGCTTAAACAAGCGGCTAAGCACAGCAACGGCATCCACACCCGCAGACCGTGTGGCAGAGCTCGACGGGTGTGGCTGTCTTGTTGCCAGATGCCTCATTGTGTTCGTGCATGTGAGTCTGCTGGAGATGGCGTGGCGGCTGGTTTGGGATCGCTCGCATTTGCTAAGATGCCAGGCAGATAACGCTTGTCGTCAGTTTGCGAGAGGAGGTCTCGTGTGTTTCTGCTCTTGATGTTGATAACATGCAGAAGCTGATCTTGGCCAGAGCATTTCCAGGTTGAGAAGGGCCTGAGCCAGTTGGAGGACTCAGCATGGAAGTTTGCGCAACCGATCAACCGATCCTGCATGCGGCCAGTGCGACAGTATGACATGTCCAGCAAGCTTGGGATGTCCGAAGGATGCAAGCGAGTCTCTGGCCAATGTAGCTGCGACGAGCGCTCAAGCAGCTCAAGCCGCCCGCTTCCGGGAAACTCATCAGGCGGATCTTGCTTTATCTTGCTGTCATACGCCTGGCAGAATGCTTACGGCGTAGGAATGGGCTTGGGCAGGAGATGCTTCGGGACTTTAAGAGAGTGGCCCAGAGCATTGACCAGCAGTACCAGCATGCAAGGCCAGCCCTTGATATCCGGGGGATGCTTCAGCGTAACATCGAGTGATTGACTTCTGCAGGTTGCTACCGCAGGCCAGAAATAACTGGCCATCAGCTGAGCGCGTCCACTGGACAACTTCCACAGAGTCAAAGTCAGAGTTCTGCCAGCATCCGCCACCGTCACCCAGGTCCAGTGTCGCCCTGGCACGTCCTTGCAACAGAGCTGTTCTACCCAGCGAAGTGAATGCGACAAGTTTAAATGAAGAAAGTAAATGCATGAGTTCCAGAGGTACGTACAAAGCAACAACAAATGAAGTAGTGGCAGCTGAACAGCAACTTATGAACAGAGGAGTGTATTGCCAAAGCCACAAGGCAGACAGACACACCGACAAACAAACGCACACACACACACACATGTGCAGGTCTGAAGACCAAGAGGTAACAGGACATCTACGAAGAAGATGAGCGATCAAACCTGTCCGCCAAAAAACTGAGGTGTTTTTCTATGTAATATGATGAGCAGTATAGATGTATACTACATATATTCAGGAGAGCTTGTCAACTGAGGGATTCGCGGTCTGGCCGCCGGCCTCGTAAAATTCCAGAATGTTGTGGAATCCTTAGAGGTTGCGGCAGCTGGAAGACAGTTAACAAATAAAGCTTTTCACTCGGACGTGAAGCATTTCAGCTCGTTTGCAATCTGTCACAACTCAGCAAATTTACAATACCCCTCTCATTGGTTATCCAATCTGGGAGCTGCAGTACTGTGGCCTGATGCTTGTTCAGGCCGGCGTTCCAAGATGGTTGTAGATTGTTGCTTGAGCTGACTCTGTGCTTTCGTTGTTTTGTGTTGCATGGTGTGATTGCGTGGGGGAGTGTATACGCACATACCTACATGCAGTCAGCCTGCATACATACATACACATACCTACAGATTCACGTAACCTGTGTCTGCCTGCGTGCCTCCCAGCCTGCCTTGCCTAGCCGCCTGCGCATCTGCCTACCTGCATACATACATTTCTACATATGCACATGCACGGACATGAATCTGGCCCATGCGCCAGCCTGCGCTGACAGCTAGCACGCGTGTCGTTAGCGGTACACGCAAGGATGACGCCGAAGACGGCCTGATGCGAGAACGCCGCTCGCCTGTTCGGAAAGATCATGTTTTCCACGGGAGCTGCCAGTTTCATGCGCGGTTCGCCGGGCCAGGAATGGGCTTGAATTCCTCGCTGTCCATGGCGGATGATATCATTGGCCAAGCTACTGCCACACGAGATATGTTGATGAACCAACGCAATGCCGGGTGCCCAGCGACTACATCAATACGTCTCAGAACCTGTGCTCGTGTGGTCTTGCCTTGATGGCGGTGTTCCTGCTGTGCCATGCTTCACACACCTTGCATGCCATGACGGTGCATAACCAGGCGAATGCTATAGATATTATAGACAATACCGATATGACCGGCATGACTCTGCATTGCTTGAGCGCTTGGCCGCGATCTGATATGTTTTCCATCCGAGATCCAAGCTGGAAGCGCACGAAGCTTGAACACTTGAAGGTTTATTGGTCTTCGGCTTTCGTAGTCTAAGTCCGTCAGGCTGCAAGCTCCATTGTCCATAACTTGCAACTTGGGCGTTCCAATTTCTTTGTGAAGCTCAACGAAGTGATTTGCAAAAGCATGACTTCCTTGAGATCCTGCTGAACACCCTTGGCAAGAATGCAACCACACGATGTCACGGGCATCAAGATCATCAAGCTCCAATTTGAATAATTTGATGGGAGCTGCAGAGTCATACGGCGGGCGAAGTGGCGTCAGTAGAAGTAAGTAGGAGCTCTTGTTTGCGCAATGACGGGTGGTGCATTCCATCTCCAATAATGGGTTGTTGGAAGCTGGAAGGCAGGTGCATGACCAATGTGTTTGGGCGAAAGGGGGCGGGGATCCATAATCCGGGCGGCTGAATCGAGGGAATCAAACTGTGATTAGTCGTGAAGCAGACGCGGGTGTGCGGCAACATCCGCTATCGGCGTATACCCGCCGCCAGCACCCATGCCGTGAAGGGCGCCGTCGTTCTTCTGCCTCGCGGGTCCTGGAGGAGGAGCTCCGGTCCTTGTCTTCCGAAGACACGGAAGAGCCAGAGGATACCATGGGCGAAAGTCGGGATGAAGACGCAGATATGGTTGAGAAAGTAGCTATCCGGGCAGCGGTGTCCGCTCCGTGGCTCCTGCGCAATCCGCGCAGCAATTTAGTGCACTTTGCTCAGGTATGTCCGCCCGACGCTGCCTGCGCTATACGCATGTGGCATCATGTGGCGCTCTGACGACCAATCACTCTATGTCCGTCCGGCCTGCGGCGCACAGACGCACCCGATTTCGTCTGGCCTGCTTCTGAGGCATCCTCCGGTCGGCTCTGTTCTTTGCCCGCGCGGAGCGTGCTTCTCACGCCTCTCGCACTGGACAGCTACCGAGGTGCTCTTTCCAAAACGCGACTGCACTTCCGTCTGCCAAGTTTAGCTGCGGCCGAGGGGCCTCCCGTTTTCATTCCGCAGCCGTTTCTCAGCCAGCGATAGGTTCATTCCCTGCGTCCGTCGGCGTGGCACTTGGTGGCTTCGATCCGCCCGGCCACTTCTTTGCAGGGAGGTCCCGGGCCTCCTCGGAGGCTGGGGCGGAAACGGCGCCTTCGGGTGCAGCCAGCTCGTCAGATGCGATCGTCGGGAGACCTGTCTCTTCACAGCTGCCCTTGGCTTCCGCAAGCTCCGCCGACCACCCGCCTCCCACACAGGCACCTGCAGCCACTCGCCCTGCGGCGAAAGCCCGTCCGCGTGGGCCTGTGGCTTCTTGGTCCTCTGCGCGGACGTGGATTGTGATCTGTGTTTTGTCGTGCTCCGCTGGTTCCGCAATGAGAATCCATTCCCTTCCATGCCAAATTGCCGTAAGCTCCCAGATAGGCTTATAGCGCTGTTGTCGGCCAGCTATCTGGGCGCTGATCTGCTTCACGTTGGTAGTTGGGGATTTGAGCTCGTCCTACTTGGATCTGCCCGTGGCAAATCAATTTATCCTTCTTGACCATAGAACTCGACTATGCTGAAGTGTGCGAGGCTGCCCTTGGTCTTCAGTGTCTGCGTGCACGTGTGCATGCGGCTGAGGCCCTCCTTCTCAACGAGTTTCTCGATGGCTTGTTCTCGGTCGCGCTGCGTAGCTGAATCCGGCTGGGAAGAGATTATTGCCTGTTTTGATGCTTCGAGCTGTTGCTGCTTCTGGAGCTGGTCCTTGGTTTGAGCAGATCTTTGATCGAGCGTGTTGAGCTTGCCGGTGTGTTGACTTAGAAGGCGATGGATGTCCGAGATCTGCGATTGAACGAAGAGGTTTGTGGCTGCCACCGCGTCTTTGACTTCTCTCCGGGCATGGGTGATCTGCTTCTTTCGCCCATGTTTCTGGAAGAAAAGGGAAAGAAATGGTCGTGAGGGGGTTCTGTACTTCCCGATCCGAAATGAGCCCAGAAGAAAGGGCTGCAGAAGGCAATGGCAAAGCAGGACCCCGGCTAGTCAACGGGGAGAGTTTCCTTTCTTCACCTGACGCTGGGGCCTGATTGTTGCATGCTGCCCTTCGGAGCCATCGGACGAGCAGGGCACGGGCGGGCCTGAAGCAGCGGGGCCATCTCGCGGCAGCAGAATCCAACTCCGTTCCAGCTATCAAGGCCCCACACTTGCTCCCGGACAAGTTGGGAAATAGATACCCAAATTGCCCGGTCGGCTTGCAAGTGCGGGCGGACGGAAGGAAGCACCTCCCATTGCAATCAGCAACAGGAGGATCCTGTCACGAGTGGCTGGTGTCAAGATGGACGACGCGTCGACCCAGTGGGGCCAGCAACATGGAGTACCTCGCAAGCCGGATGCTTACAGGCTTACAGAGCCCAAGACCACTTCACAATCACCGACAGGGGCATCACCCCCGAGAAGGCCGCCGAGTATGACCAGAAGTACGAGGCCCAGTCAAAACGCAAACAGAGCACAGCCAGCGCCACACAGCAGGACCAGGAGGACGAACCCATGGAGACGCAACATCGGGCAGCTACTGCGCGACTCGACCGTGGTGTGAGGCCTCCGCAGGCCAGGGACGGAGGTAAGGGTAAGGCGCCACAAGGCGCCCGCTAGGAGTTTCCGAGCCGCCACGCTACCAAAACGCATCAGCCACACTCCAACACATCTCACACGACCATTTCTTTTGGGGTTATTCCCTCGCGCCGCCAGGATGGCGGGGCGGCGTAACGACCATTTCTTCCGACCATTTCTTTTCTCGTGTCACACCTGCATTACATAACACTCGCGACCGACCCCAGCGGGTACAGAGCAAAATCCGATCCAACAAAAAGGGACGGAAGTCAGAAACAGCCACGATTAGTAGAAAAGCTAACGGAGCAGCCAACCGTGCAAAACATAGACGAGGATATCGATGGTGTTGTGCAAACTTGAGTGGTGTTGTTGATGACAATGACCGGGGCATTTCGAGCATCTGCCACCACCCACCTCCTAAACACTCCGTTTCCCGGCCCTTGAGGAGAGACGCGCGTGTTTCAGAACCCACGTGCCTATAAGCTGAGACTGCCAAGCTCAACAAGAATATTCCTAAGTCACACAAAATCCCATACGGTTTTGAAGTTCGTATTGCCTCTCTAAATGTTCGATCACTGCTGAAGCCAGCCATGCATGCAGAAATTATTCAGCACATGAAAAAGCATTCTCTCCACATTCTTTGTGTGCAGGAAACTAAGTCCAGGAACACAACACAGTATGTCGTCGACAACTATACATTCCCAACGATCAGTACCGCAGCCCCCGACCAACAGGAACATGCCGGTGATGGGTTCGTTCTTAGTCCTTTGGCCAGGCGTGCGCTACTACGTACGCATTATGTAAGCAGTCGATTCGTCAGCATTACTTTGCTCGCAGGATCTGGGGAAATCTCCATCCTCAGCAGTTATGCCCCACAAAGCGCTAGGCCAGAAGAAGAGAGACGGGAATTTTTCGAGTTGCTTCATGATCAAGTTGAGGCCGTACAAACGAAAGGGATGTATATGCTAGTGGGGGATTTCAATGCCAGGATTGATGGCAAACAACATGGAGAGGAAGGAGTGTTAGGGCCCTATTTGTTCGGCAAAGGAGTTGCTGCTATCACAGATGAGAGTAGCAATAGGCAGATGTTGATTGATTTGTGCGTTGCAGACGACCTTATTGTTTCAAACACTTGGTTTCAACATCCGCATGGCAGGCAAGTCGCCTACAAAGAGCCGGGAACGAAGCATTTACCCGCAACGAACGACGATTGGAACCCTTCTGAGTTTGTGCAGCTTGATTTCTGTTTGGTCCCGACCAGGTGGCGTAATGCATGTAAGAACGTTTACAGTAGGCCTCGGGCAAACTTTGATTCAGGTCATTTCCCTTTGCACATACACATGGTGGCCAAGTTGGGTGCCAAACCTAGGTCCAATCCATACCCCCGCTGGGCATTTGACAGTGCCAAACCCGACGACATCAATGGTTTCAACCAGGAAATCGAGAGAACACTGCAAGAACGAAGCATGCCCGACACAGATGTTACTAACATGTGGGAAGCTCTCAGACAAACATACCTTGCGGCCCTTGAGCACAAAATCCCCAAGCGCAAGCAGCTCCCCAGAAAACCTTGGATAACAGAAGACACTCTCAAACTGCTTATGCAGGGAAACAGGGGATTTGGCAAGGGTAGCTGACCTTAACAAGCAAGTTAGGAAAGCCGCGAAGAAGGACAAGAGGGCATGGCTTGACGAACAGCTTGCTTCAAGAGACTGGAGGCCCACAACCAACATTAACAACCCTTTTCGAGGTGCCACTGTTCGTTTGTACCCAGGGCACCGCTGGGACCACCAGCGCCAAAGAACGCTACAGTATTTGCTAAACATTTAGCAGAGGTGCAATGGTCAGATGCAGGGCCAGCGCAAGGCTTAAGCAACGATCCCGTACTTGCGGCTGATCCACCATTTCTTCCACAACCGTTTTTATGGCAGAACTCATTACAGCTATTAGACAAACCAAGACTGGCAAACGAGGGGGGAAAGATGCCATACCAAATGAATTGTACAAAAATTTGCAAGGTGAAGGCCTGGTAGCCTCATTACAGCTGTTCAGGGAATGTTGGGATAAGGAG